GGATCCATTCCTTCATTCCTTGCAAACTTGAGTTATCGCGCTGTGTGACCGCATGCAGGCACTGCCGAAAACTTTCTGGAGCTTGCTTTACCCATCGTGGCTTTGGAAGGCTTCTCCATGCATACAGAACAAAATGCCCAAATCCTAAACCTTGAGCCAGAGACGGCCTGGGCATGGGAGGCGTCGTTTGAGACCAAGACTTCCCAGGACTTTTGGTCCTGGAGAGTGTTGGCTTTCGTGGCTACGTCCCTTTCGGTAGGTGTACAAGTTTGTCAAGGGGAGCCATCACATCCACACTGACATTGCCTGTAATTATGGATCATTATTCATGCTTTCTTTGCACCGTACATCCCAAGCTCAGCAGCAACTGCAAACGAATTGATGCTAGGAGGCTACAGGAAGGAGCACCGCGCGTAAATTGACACCAGAGCATCGGCTATTCCAGCAGGCGAATGTTGGCGTGGAGCTGACTCATGTTTAGGGTTGGTGTGGGTTTAGGGCTGCCGCTGCTCATGTACAGCTGTTAGCAGAGATGACTCAGGCTTCTGAGTTTGAAGTTCAGAGCCTAGCCTGCTCTCAAAGTACCTGCAGTGCCGTCCTCAAAGTCACCAGGAAGTGCACGGAGAACTGACATTGCCTGGGCTTCAGCATAGGCTTTGCGTCTCCCCTCAATCACGTCTTGCGCCTTCACGGAGGCCTTCAGGAGCGTGGAAGCAGCAAGCCAAAGCTGGCAGAAAATCACAAGCCCAGGAAGATCAAATACCCCAGTAATTAATGGAAAATCAGACGGGAATTACTGGACAAATATGTGGACATGTCGGTGTGTGTGTGAGCATATATGTACATGTGAATCTATGTATATCTCTCCACATATATATATATGGTATCTTCTGCCAGTTCTGCCATCAGCTACCTGTGCTTCACTCGTGCCTGAACTACTGCACTTCTGAGTCGGAATCGGCAACAGAAAACATGCATGCCATATCATGCCATGTTGTAGGCCCACAATAAAGGGCAATAAGCAAGGATAAAAGAGCTTCCCGAAGTATAAGCTACGAAGGGAGAGTATTATGGGAGTACTGACAATTTTACAAAAAGAACTGTTGTGGCGTGTGTAAGATAAACTATTTTTAGAGGGGACTCTTTAAGACAATTATTTTCCTCATGCCACAACAGTCTTTACCACATGTTTCATGGTTCTGTGAAGGTGTCCTCTGCATGATTTTCGTTTCTCGTGCAAATGCATGTACCGCTCGTTGTGTTTACCTGGTTGCAACACTCGTTGTCCGGTGCTACACGTTGTCCATTACTACACCATAGTCTCCGCTACACTTACTAACTGGTATTTACCACTGACTCTGTGATAGGTTGATCTACACAGATGCTTCTGTTTTAAAACTACTCGTCCTTGTTTCAAAACACATGGGACCAAAAGACCAAAAAAATTAACACACAAAAAAACAAGCACAGGAAAAAACAGAAAAAAACACAAGAGAAACAACTAAATGACACAGATTCCCACACTACTCCGCAGTCTGGACTAGTTGGGAAATCTTTGTTTTTATGTTTTTCTTTGGTTCCGGTGCTCTGCCCTTCTGTCCACCCCCAACTGTCATTGAAGACAACATCGGAGCGGCCAGCAGCGCATGCCCAAGACAGCAAGTCATGCTCTGTAGGATGCATACATGCTTGCAGCAGAAGCATGGCGACTTCATGTTGGCGATGCCTGCGAAACCCAGGTCAATGGACTCCTCCCAACATCCTCAATTCTGTCCTTGCTGCCTTTGCTTCCGGCAGCGACCGGGCAACTTCCACGGAATCCGCATTGCATGCCACCAAAAACGGCGTTGTTTCCCCCCTGAAAACATTGGAGAGCAGAGGATAGGGACCAAAACAACCTGGGTCTTAGGGTTTAGGGTTCAGGGTTTTAGGCTTTTTTAGGGCTTAGGCCTTTGGGTGCAGGGTTTAGGGTTACTTTCAGGGTCGGCCCAACGCTCCTTGGTATGAGGGTTTCCTATAAGACGCTGGCCAGAATATTGATTGGTTTGTTCGTTTGTGCAACAGATTAAATAGTTATTCAATTAGATAACGAATTAATCAACTAACCGAGTGATTGATTGCTTCATCAACTAATTAATAGTTCACCAACAAAGTCACGAATGAATGAACTAATTATTCAGCTCACGATTTTCTTAATCAAAGGTATCGGGCTGTTGTGGCTCGCTTAAAGGTGATAGGATCTGAGTTGACGGTTCCGAGACACTCCAACTACATTATGATCGCATCAGGTGTCCCCAATGATGGGTATTGAAGGCTTAGTGGAAGGCAGCTGAAGGGCCAGGCCAGGGAGACTGAGTAAGTACACACATGGAAGAGGCAACTACACTTATAGCATGGGTTGCATGTATACTTATCCAGGTGTCCCAGTAACCCCGTAGTTCTCTTGTATCTTTGTTGTGGCGGAGAGAGAATGCTATTCCGTTCGTGAAAACAGAGGTTTGGTTCTATCGGTGGCCTTATTGAGGACTTGTTGGTTGTTTTGGTCTTTATAATGCTTACACCCTCTACTTCATGACGCAGCACATTCCTGGCGCATCTTATTTGTATGTGGATGAGAGGAATTTTCTACTTAGTCTGCTCTTTCTCCATAGTCTTAGTATTATCCAAAGATTCTTAAAAGTTAGCCTATTGTCTTGTACCACAAATGTTTCAAGTTTTAAGGAGGAAGTCTCAAATCCTTGGTTCTGCATTTTCCTCGTTCAAAACTCTACAAAATTGATTTTTTCTTTATCAGATTCTCTTGACAAATACATACCCCTACAGTTTAGACCCTACAGTTTAGAGCCTAAGCCCTATAAACCCTAAACGTACTATGTGCTATAATCTAAACTCCTAATATCCACCCTTCATAGCCCATATAATACTCCCCTATATAATCCTGTATATAATCCCCTTTTAGAGAATTCAGACCCTAAACCCCAAATCCTTTAGAATCCCCTATGATGACCCTACGTCTGCCTTTTCTGAACCATCTCCTTACTCGTAAGTGCACGAGACCTTCCAAGCATTTTCGCTTAAACCGTAAGCCCCCAAACCATGTGGCTGAAGGGTGCCTCAGGAATACAAAAGAAAATACAAGGGATTAGGGATTTCGGCTTAGGGTTCAGGGTTTAGGTTTCGGGGTTTAGGGGTGTGGCCGCAGGGTATGATTTGTTAGACTTGCCACGTTCGGGTTTGCTGCCTCGTTGTGGTCCTTTTTGGCTGAGGAGCCTAAACCCGCAGCTCTAAACCTTAATGCCAAAACCCTAAATCCTGAACGCTAGGCCCTAAACCCTTAACCCGCAGCTTCAAACCTTAAGGCCTAAACCCTAAATCCTCAACCCTAAACCCTTTATCAACACACAATCTCCCTTTGTGGACACGTTACCTAGACCCTCCACCTACCCTCTATTGGGACCTACGTACGGGGCCATATGTCCCCAATTAAAGGTACTAGGAAGGCTTTGGTATATACTTGTTGCACTTCTCCACTGAGGTGAGCTTTCTCTGAGGGCCCAAGTACCAAATCGTCTTACTAGGATTTCCCTGCATTACGCCGTTTAAGGGTTAATAGAATAGGCTTGAGGGGTATACTGGAGAAGTAGATGGAACCAAGTCAAAGCCTCTACTTTAATGCCTAGCACTAGAATCCCAACTGTTCTAAAGATAGGGGTTGAGGAAAAACAGAGTTGATGCCTAGGTGATCTGCAAACCATGATTTTTTAACACACGCCACAACAGTCCCCTCTCCAATTTTAAGGCAGCATCTAAAAATCTCATCCTTTGCAGCTCCACACCTAAACATAAACCTAATCCTACCCTCAGCTTTCTACAGTACCTTGTCAGCTGCACAAGTGCCATCTTCCGAAACCAAGTCGCTGTCATGCCGCCAGCACCTGCCATGGTGTAGACAAGGGTTTATCGAGTTTAGGACTTAGGGGTTTAGGGTTTAGGACTTAGGGGTTTAGGGTTTGGGCTTGAGCAAAGAAAGTGCTTGAGTGGAGGTTTTGGTGTAGAAGCCTGAACGGTTGCCAATATCACATCCTGGAAGCCCTGTGTAAGTACAGTATAGTGCAACCCAAGCGACCTTATTTTGATTCAATAGGTCTGAGTGTTAAGAGACGAAAACGGCCACGGCTTTAGATTTGTTTGCCTGTGTAAGAAGAATGAACCGAAATCCAACACAGTCAAAACGAAGAATCTAGAAGGGAGCCTCTGAAAACAATCGCAGCATCATCTGGATTACGAAGCCCACAATTTTTGCATCATCCCCGCATACCACTGAAGATCCCAACCCTCACAACTCAAGTCCGAGTGAATAACTCGCACCTGTAGTAATCAGCAATACGCCCCTGGTCGAACCCCGGCACCTCCCTAACACGAAAGTTTCCCTGTTTCCACATGTACCATGACGGCAAAGGTCAAGCTTAGGGGGAGGGGATTACTTACTTGTGACTAATGAGGCGCCAGCTTTTGATGAGACATACGTGAAGGTTCTCAGGCGTGCACGTGGGGTAGTTAAAGGTTTACGGTTCTAAGGATGCCCTTCATGGAAGCTGTACTGAAGCCGAGGCTCAGGGTCTAGGGTTTCGGGGTAGAGTGCTAAGGTCTAAGCTCAAACTCTACATTCTGAAGCCTGCGCTATGATCTTCAAAGCATACCTACCCCTACATCCCTGCAACCCTCTCCAAGGGACCAAAACAAAACACCCTAAACTCTAAATCCTAAAGCCTGAACCCTGCTAGCAAAGCCCCGCCTTGGGGTTTTTGACCCGATAGACCCCGTAGAGCATACTGCGTTGGTCCGCCATGGGAAACCAGAACAATCGTCTCCTTGCTGTCGGCTCTCTTAAGCTCCGTTAAAAGGTCTTTGAGGATAGTTTTAGGGCTTAGGGCTGAGGGTTGACGAGTTAGGTTTAAGGTATATATGTAAACTTCGTATATACATGATAGGGTTCAGAGTTTGAGATTCGCTCGAGTAAATAAGGGTTCTGGGGATACATACATACATACATACATACATCATACATGCATACATACATACATACATACTTACATATTTGCATGCATGCATGATTGCATGCACATGCGCATAGAAACATATCATATGCATGGAGTCCAGGGTATAGAATTTAGGCATAAGGTAGGGTTTAGGCAACGAGGTCTTCTGGGTATGGCATCTTAACGGTCGAACTTTGCGTGTCTGTTTTGCATTTGCTAATTTTCCTGGTGCTCCGCGTTTATGTGGAAGGTTTCACGCCAGTCCTCACCCCCAAACCTGACACATTCGGTAAACCAACAGAATATTGGGCTAATTTCTCTAAGGGACGTAGGGGCTTGAGTTAATTATCCATGACATTCTCGATTAGGCAGGACAAGCAAGTAGCCCGCAAAGCTGAATGCTAAATCTTTGACAAGCCCTTGACGTTGTCAATCACAACCTCTACACCACCCAAACCGCACTCCAGACAATGGCCGAAGGCGCCCCTGGGTGTTGCCGCACTTGCCGATGGGCAACATGAACTAGTCGCTCCACAATCTCCTGCCACGAGCTGGCGTGAAGTTTACTCTGGTTGGAAAAGGCTCGTTTTGCCCGCCCTGCCCACATAGCCGGAGGCAAAGCATCTCAGATCCTCGTGGATCTCAAACTTGCCCCAGTGGTAGCCCCTGTCCTGACAAGCAACCAGCTAAGAGTTCCCACGATGTATTTACAGCTCCCCCCCTACATTCCGCTAAGGCAGCTTACTGCCTACAACAGGCGATGGCGAGCATAAAGGACCCGCAGCTGTGCAGCAAAAGAACCACCTTTGCCTGTTTACCTGATCTACTCTTCTGTTGCATCGTGTCCATCGCAAGCAAGTGAAGGTGCCCTCGGCTTTGCAAGACTGTCTTGTAGGTTATGCAAGAACATGCTGTTGAACCTGTGCAAGAAAAGGTATCACGCCCTCTGGGGTGTCCCTTATTCTCGTGAAAACGAGAAAACCATGGGAAACCTGAACATGAAAAGCTGAGGGTTTGAGGACTTCCTGTTGCGGGATTGAACATGAGCCCTGTCATGGTGTGGGATTTGGAAAGTTTTTGGTGTTGTCGTGGCCAAAACAGTAGTTAGTTCAAGAATGCCCTGAAGCACAAACTTGCCAGACAAGGATGTTATGATGATTCTCATCATATGGTAAGCTACGATTAATCCTTTCTGGTGTGAATTTATTATTGCCACTACGATGGCGACTACTATTCTTACTGATATGAATCTTGTTGCCATCGGTATGAGTACTATGGGGATGAGGATTGCCCCGGCCATCGTAGATGCGCCGGTAACATGGCCACTATGCTGTATCCCTATACAGCCCTAGATAACCCATATATCCTAACCTCTAATCCCTAAACCTAATCCCTAAATATCCCTATATAGCCTTGATCTGCATGCCAGGTGTCGTGGAGTGGCACACAGCTGGCATACTCCGCATTGACGCGAGTCCAACCCGCTGATTTCAGCTCTGCAGCTGTGCGAAGCAGGGCTCCTGTGCCTGTAGATCAAGAGGGTGATAGGGTTTAGGGTTTAGGGATTTAGGGTTTAGGGATTTAGGGTTTAGGGTGATAATAAGGATTATACAGGGCCATATAGGTGATTGGGGGTACTACAAACTGTGTAAACGGCTATATAAGGCTATGTAGGGAGTAGCACTGGGGCTGTAGGGATATTACAAGGATATACAGGGGGCATGTGGGGTTTATCGCCAGGCCCGGCGGCAGCGCCTATGGAAAACCTGAACCCCCAAACTCTTCGTGTTTTCTTCAGGGAAAAGAGGGGTGCGCCATCCTCAAGGGTGGAAACTTCACCGGCTGCAATATGAACATGCCATGCTAGCCCTAAACTGGTTTGCTACAAAGGAGCTTAAGCTAAGTTACCATAATCTGATATTGTGGGTATATAGGGTTAAGGGTGCTGTAATGTGGGTATATAGTCAATCATAGGGTTTCCTTGTTTTTCTATGTCATTTGAAAGCTCCTTAACAGCAACCAGAATATTGAAACCCTCAACTATCAACCCCTACACCTTACTTTTACTTTAACAACTCCCAATATTTCGTGTACCTTTTCTATTCCTCACCCCCTACTCTGCCTACCATCAAGATTTCTGCTGCTGTGGCTATCACGATTAAACTGCATTGTCCTGCTAGGGCTTCAGGGCGCAGCTGATCGGGTGCAACTGCCGGACCTCGCAGGTATCCTCAGCTTCCCCAGTCACAAAAGAATGATTTCACAGCTAGTTGGAGATGCACAGGGGGGGGGATCCCTTCATTGAGGTTTTATAGGGTGTGTAGGCCTTAGAAAGAGTGTGAGATCTATCAAGAAGTACTGACAATGGGGCCCTGAACATGAAATTTGAAGTTTTACAGGCCATTCTTCTGGGCGAGTCACACCTAGTTGTCGTGCTTGCTGGCCCCAAAGTGGTTGCTACAACAGCCCCAGAATGTAAAGAAGTGAAGGTCTGGGCAAAGTAACATGGCTAGGTCCCGGAAGGCCGAGACATTCCAGCAGCACAAGCACAACCTGCAACCAAATCACGAGGATCACGGTCGCGGTGTTCCTGCATGGTTTTTGGGGTGGTACTTCAAAACGCCCCCAAAACAATTCATGAAAAGGTCCCCTTCCAAAGACAATAACGGACCCTGATAATTATCCTTAAGTGCCTCCCAGTCATGGTTGAGGACCAAACTCTGGCCTAGTAGTTTGGACGTGTGAACTTAGCGCTTAAGGCACGTGTTTTGGATTAGACACGTGTTTTGGATTAGGATTTAGGCTTTAGGGGGTGTTCGAACCCACGTAGCAAGAACATAACTTTTTCGTGTACTTCTCTCAATCAGGAGTATCAGCAGGGCTGGCGTGAGCTTGGCTTTCACTTGTTGCCGGGTGGGCAAGGGGGGCAACGGCCAGGCCGGCACCTGCCGCCAGGCCCTAAACATCCACATTTTAGGTAAGAATTTGGCACTGGCTCCCTTAGGTTTTATATAGTTTCGTCCTAGCCTCCCAATTCCTATGAGTAAGGGTTATAACAGCTTAACAAAAAGGTTATAACAGCTTAAATAAACAGATTACACCAAGTATACTCCAAATCTACGATTCTGAGACCCCCACAAAACGCGCCCTCCAAGGCCCAGGGCGTCACGTTCTTTCAAATACTATACATTAAAAGAGGATATACTCTGGCTCTGTATTGGGTACCATTGGGACCATAGTATTCTTCTCGGACATTAATCGATCCGCGAAGCCATTGGCCTCAAACAAAATACTAGGCACTTGAGGTTTTGGACTACCGTAGCCACATCAGTCGTTCACAAGACACACCAAGTACTCCAGCCCAAAGAGGAGATTCTGACATGCTGCATGAAGGTAGATTTCTCTGGATGCCACAACTGCACATATTTTATATAGAGATAATGGAAAAGAAAATGGAAAATACTGTATATGTTGGCGCTCCATTCCCGTTGCAGGTTGTTGTTTTGGCTATTGAACAGCTGGAGAGTAGTCCCTTCCAAACCCATTATAGTAATTTCCATTGTCTTTTGCATTCCTTCATTCCCAGCTGCCGGGAGCAAGGATGCGTCCCAACCCGATTTCTGAAAGCGTCGAGAGCCCTAAACTTAAATGCAAAATCCTGAAGCCCGAAATCCCAACCCTAAAGCCTTCAAATTCTTTAACCCCCTCGCAAACTGCAGCCGCAAACCCTAAACCCTACACCCTGAAACCCTAAACTCTAATCGTAGGTGTATCGGCTGGCAGCAGCACTGCAAGTGCACGAGTTTTCAAGAGTTTTTTGGTCTCCAGACCACACCGCCTGTGCCTTTTGCCATGGCGGACGGAGCGGCTTCCTCAGCAATGAGCCTGGAGCAGCAGCGCCGAGAGATAGCGTCCCACGTTGAGGTGGGCGCTAACCAACGTCTCTTCTTCGACAACTACAGCAGGCAGAAGAGGGGACCACCGACCCCAGTGGCTTCAAGCCTGGCCACACCGCAGGAGGCCGAAGGTGGTGCAACAACGTACGTCAGCGGACAACCGGAGTCGGTCGCAACGCGCGAGCTGGACGACCACACCGCCCTCCAAGTCACAGCTGGAGCAATGGGGCACGATGTGAACAACCCGCAGGCCATGGAGAACTTCCTCAATGCCCCAGTCCACACCGCCCGTGAAGTGCTACAGCTGGTGCGAGGATATCACAAAGCTGTGATTCGTCCGGAGCTCTACGGAGCAGTGGTCCAACTGGAGAGCGCGATGAAGGTCCTGCATGACTGCATCTTCCTCACCCAAAGTGAGTTGCGTTTCATGGCCAGCGACAACAGGGCCATGCAAAAGCATCAGTCAGGCCTGATGCTTGTCACCACTGGGTGGCCTACTGGTTTGGGGCCGGAAGACCGGCACTACATGCTAGGCTGGATGTTGAGCCAGGTCCCAGAAGTAGTCACCTACCTCAAAAACAGGACTACTGGCCATGGAGGACCACACCGCCTTGCAGCTACAGCCATCGTTTTGGTTCAACAGCCTCAGCGTTGACCCAACAACGGTCCCGCAAGGCCAGTGGTGGAGCGCTATGACGATGCTGACTTTCAAAAGCTGGGACATCCGCAGTGCTTTCTTGCGGAGGTATGGTGGCACCTCCGGAACTCCACTCTACACCTCCGAGACCACAGCGCAGGCTGGAAGGCACATCAGGGTTAGCCCCTGTGCGCCGCAATGGCAGCGCAAGCTGGAAGCACCCCTCCGAGTACTGATTGCATGCTGTAATTCGCACCCAGACACAGAGAGCAAAAGGCTCATCATTTTGTGGAAGTCCCTAACCCTCATGGCGCCAACAGACAACCCCGACTTCGATGCAGACCACACCGCTTGGGGTCGCATTTTTACGAGGAGTTCGAGGGATCCTTTAGAGGCAGACTTGAGGTAGGGCCAGAGCTTGCTAGAATCTTGCAAGCCAATCCTTCCACAGTTGATTCAAAGGATCAAACTCTGTGGGTAGAGAAGTGGAATGAAGTGATTTGGGGAAACCAATGGGAGTTAGATCAGATGGAGCAGGAAGCTTACCACACCGCCCGCCAAGATGCGAAGATGTCTGGCCGTGGCACTTCATACGGAGGAGGCCGAAAACATTGGTCCTCAGCCCTGCTCCATAACAGCTACTTTTCCCCATATCCATTTCAGTTGGACATGGTTACCGTAGATAAGGTAGCCTTTATTTGGAACGAATTCTGCGAGAAAGCTCGCAATCCTGGTGAGAAGGTCCAAGACCCTCGAGCCTGCACTTTTGGAGGAAAGCCGGCCACATATGTCCCAGTAGGTGCAGATATGGAGGTGGACGGGGGCGAAGCCCCTCAGACCACTCCGCCCAATCTTTCCAAAGCTGCAGCACCTTCAGCTCCAACAGCAGCCAAGAGCTCTGCCCCTCCTGCCAAGTCCAAAGGACGGGGCAGGAACACAAGGGGGGCCTGAAGGCCTACCTGGTGCACAGACAAGATCCACTTGTATTCAGTTCCTTATATTTACTATTTTCTAGACCACACCTCCAACAGAAGGATCTTAGTGCATCATCCAAAGACAGGAGAACCTTTGAAACTTTCTCAACTCCTGATCTTTCAGTCAACAGCATTTCAAGTACAGTCAGGTGTTGAGCACACTTTGAAACTTTCTCAAGCTCCACCTTGTTTGCCAGAGCTTTTTCAGGGTCTCTCAAGCCAAACCACACCGCCAGGTCACAAGGGTTTTGGATCTTGTGTAGTGATGCAGCTTAGCAGGAATAAAATCACGCATGCTCTTAATGGCAATACTGTTCTTCTCCCTGAGCATTTAATTCCCCACCCTACCCAAAGTCAACCTTCTTATGATAGGTCCACTCTACTCAAGTTCTTTTCTAGAAAGAATGAGCCCTCAACTTTAGGTTTTGTGCCAGTCACTCTTCAGACCACACCGCCTTGCTTGAGTCAACAGTCCCCCTCCAAGAGGAAAGCTGTTTCTAGAACAGGTAGAAGAATCAAGGTCTTCAACCCTGCAACACAGCCTCAATTTTATAAGCCTAAAAAGCATGTATCCCCAAGGGATAAGAATTTAGGAGTTTACAGTAATTCAAACTTCTCCGCTGAAGCCCCGGCCCCGACCTCCGCCTCCACGAGGCACACCGGGCACCTTCGGGTGATCGAAGAGAGACCCCAACCAATGGGGGGTGTCTATGCTTCGCAACAGGGGGCCAGTCGTCGTAGACTCCGCAGGCAGTCATATCGACGCTGGTGTCGTGAATGCAAACAACACGTGCCAGGAGGGGCGGACTCCCTTTTGGCCACACCCCCCACGTCCACAAAAGTCTCCCAGAACAAAGCCGCAAAATTTAAACACGCCATTGATTGGCAGCAACACCTACAGAGGAAGAAGAAGCCTACCAGAGATAGAATCCAGACCACACCGCCTTTAGCTTATAACTATAAGCTCAGGGTTGGTGCTCAGAATGTTCAGGGTCTGGCAGGCACTTTAAAGCTTAAAAATCTTATCTTGATGATGTCAGAGCACAACTTGGATATCCTCATCCTCTCAGAAACTAAGTCCACATTCTACTATTCCTACACCTCAGAGCAGCACCTAGTTATCCAATCAGGTAACCACAAAGACAGATATGCTGGAGTAGGTAGGAGCCATCATACATCCCAAGATCAGACCTTTTGTTGCAGACATTGTTCAAGTCAGTAACAGACTCATTCATATCACCCTCAACAAAAAAGGAGGAAGAGTACATGTCCTTGGAGTCTATGCACCCCATTCTGGCTTGGATCATGATAGCATCAGGGAACCTTTTTGGGATTCTCTACAGGAGTATGTGGACAAGCTTCCCCAACCAGAACCAGTCTACATTACAGGTGACTTCAATGTCAGATTCCAAGCACAACACCCAAATGATGCAGGAGTCACTGGTCCTTTCACTTCTGGTAAAGGCAGAAGGCACATTGACCACACCGCTTCATCTAACAGATCTTTGTGTGTTAAGACCATGACACTTCTTGATATGTTGGAAGTTGCCTCCTACAAGACACCCAACCCTACCCATCAGATCACCTATAAAGATAAAACAGCCCCTCCAACAGACTGGGGACAGTTCCTGCTTGATCCACTCATCCTACAGCAGATATACTCTAAAATCCACAATGAGGCTTCCACCGCAGATCAAGCCCTGAGTATCTCCTCACACATTAGATCCTTCTTTGATCTTCCTGAACCTCTGCCCCCCAGTCAGAACACGCCCCATCCTGAACCCACTAGGTATCAGAGACTTGACCACCTGTTCACTAGAAGGCAGTGGCTACCCTCAATCAATTCCTGTAGGTCTAAGCTTTACACTGGGTTTCCCTCAGACCACTACCTCCTGGTCACAGAGGTTCAGATCAATGTCAAGCTTGCTCAGAGAAAGCAATTCCCTAAGTATGTCCCCAAGCTTGACTTCTCAAAAGTTGATCAAACCTTAAGGGATAGATTCAACAGAACTATTCAGGGTCAACAGCTTAATGAAATGGAAACTGCTTCTGACCACACCGCCAGAATTACATTTTTCACGGATGGTTCAGGATCCAAGGGAAGATGTACTAGGTCCACTCCAGCAGGTTGGGGATGGTGCGCCCCACAGGGCAATGACTGGTTAGACGCCTCCGGTCCAGTTACCACCGATCCCAACCACCTTAAGTTCATAGGGGCTCAGGTTGGTTCTAACACCACTGGAGAACTCTCTGCTATAATAGAAGCCCTTCTATTTGCGCTAGAGCACGAATACTCTCAGGTAGTCATTCATTCAGACAGCCAATGGGCTATTCACATGATTAAGGGTATTTGGAGGCCCAAAAGCAACAAAGACCTCGTTTCCCTTGCCCAAAAGCTAGCATACAACTCAGGCCTCACTACGCACTTCCAGTGTGTAAAGGGTCACTCTGGCGTTCAGGGCAATGAGAGGGCAGACGTTCTAGCTAACCAGGGACGGGATTCCCAAACATGTTTCGGTGGTAGGACCATACCTCTCCCCATTCAGACCACACCGCCTTCTACAGCCTTCACCACGGATTCTATCAGTGACTTCGTTTCCTGTATCGATCAAGCAGCAAGACAGCATTTCCCTCTCAAACAGCGTAACCCCCCTAAACCCTGGATCTCCGAAGAAACCCTAAGAGCCCTAGACTCGGCTAGACAAGCTCAGGCCACGCTAGCTCCGGGCTGGAAGCAGGAGCGAAACAAAGCCAAGCGTATGGCTCGTAGGGATCGAATAGCATGGATCCACCACCAGCTGCAGGAAGACCCAGGAGCCGTATCCTCCACAGTTTGGAACGCAATCAGGCGACAGAGAAAGGGATTTCAGGGCCGCCGTTCGCATCTTGTGTCCGATGGCAAACCAGTGCCGTGGTCCAAAACTCACGAGGCCTTCAGGGACCACCTACAAGCAAAGCAATGGGCCAAGCCTACCATCCCGGACCACACCGCCGAAATACGCCGTAGCCGTCAGCCATTACGTCCCACGCAGGCTGACGAACCCCCCTTCACCATGCAGGAGTTATCGGCGGCTCTCGCCAAAACCAAAACAGGCAAAGCACCAGGTCCGGACGGCCTCGTTAATGAAATTCTTCAGCTCCTCGATAAGCACGGAAAAACTAGACTCCTAACCTTTTACAATCAATCATGGCTTCAGGGCACCATCCCGTCATCCTGGTCGCACGCCACGGTAGTCTCCATATTCAAAGGCAAAGGGGATGACACGGACCCCTCCTCATACCGCCCAATCTCTCTCCTTAACGCCACGTATAAGGTTTACGCCGCAATGATACAGACCCGTCTCGCCACATCTTTCGATAACAAATTGCGTAACACCCAGTCAGGCTTCCGGGCGGGTAGGGGCACGAGACACCCACTCTTCACCTTACGCCGAGCCATGGAGTGGGCGGAGATGACCAACCATAATCTTTATTGCCTTTTTCTTGACTGGAAACAGGCGTTCGATTCCATAGACCACACCGCCATGCTAGAAGCACTACGTAGGTTCGGTTTGTCAGAAAAGATGATTTCTACTATCCAAGCTATTTATTCGTCCCCTACATTTCAGACAAAGGGCCCGGAAGGTACTGTCTCCTTAGGTGAAGTTCACTCGGGTATTCGTCAGGGCTGTCCCCTAAGCCCGTACCTTTTTACTATAGTCCTTACCGTTATCTTTTATGACCTAGATGGGGAGCTGCTCAAGAGAGGTGTAGCTACCAATACTTGGTCTCAGGGGTATCCAGTCTATGACTTAGAGTATGCCGATGACACGCTCCTTATGGCTATCACCATCGAACAGCTCCAAAGTATCCTACACACGCTTGAGGACGTCGCCTCGGAGTATGGCATGCAGTTAAACCTGATTAAAACCGAGCTCCTCTACATACCTGACCACACCGCCACCTTAAGATTTAAAAAAGGTTCATTAGTCCCTAGGAAGGAAGTCGTCAAGTATCTAGGTAGCCTTATCTCATGGAAAAAACCCTTTGAGACGGCTTTTAGACAAAGAGCCTCTCTTGCCGAAGAAGCATACAAGAAGCTAAGATTAGTGTGGAACAGCTCCAGGCCCAAACCCCCCCTATTATTCCCTTAGCGATATCCAGTTTAAAATGATGGCCAAAGTTTTCAACAGTGACAGGACAGAGGTTATCCATTCAGTTGTTTTCAACGCGGCGCATAAGGACAGGATCCTAAACCAAGGTAGGCGAAGAGGAATGCAATTTCCATACTGGTTAGAGGTTTGTACTAAACAATACTTTCCCAGCATTTGGTACTCCCCTGACCACACCGCCTATCCTCAAACTAGATATGAAATAGTGGCGCGGCAATTGAGAGATCCTGCTGTTCTTGGGAAGACGCCAGAGCGCGCTGATCTGCGCGCATGGCCCTAGCAAAAACTCTAATCGTCTAACCCTGAAAGCCCTAAACCAAGAAAGTAGGTTTCAGGGCTCAGTAACTCTAAGCCCTGTATATATATATACACACATATATCTCCCCTGTAACCACTGAAAAGTCCTGAAGGATGGCGCAGCCCGGCGGTCCGCCCCACTTCGAATTCGCACCCGGAACTGCCCATTGCCTCACCGGTGATGAAAGCAGTTTAGGGCTTTGGGCTTGCGATTTAGGGTTCGGTCGGGATTTAGGATCTAGGCTCTAAAGCAGCAGTTTGGGCTTTTTTCAGGGGGGTTCCCAAAATGGGAAATCATTCCAAGATGATGGTTGCCACAAGTAGGGGTCCATAGTGGTCTCGTTTGGCGGGTTTCGTTATGCAGTTCTTTGGGGTCTGTATTGGGCTGCCCTGTTTTTGGAAACTGCCATGCGAACAATCCGCAGTGGAGTGAAGGAGTCCAAAGGAGTAGGCCTTCATGAGTTTGTGGTTTTAGATTTAAGGCTGATGCCATGCTCTGGAGTAATTTCGCCCATGTGGGCTTTCAACGCGCTGGTACAGGTTTTCGAGTCATACTGTACAAGTCTTCTTTGCTGTTCGCCCTACCTCCCTGCATTGTATGCTTGTATCTGCATTGCTTCAGGAACCTGCAGGAAAGTACTAATTGAAGTCAAGCTGTGAGACTCCATGCGTCAACTGCTGGAATCCTCTTCTCTCCATGTGAGCTATAGTCTAA